CTCCTCCCTTGAGATGTGAATAAAGTGCTAACAGATGATTCAAGTGAGATGGGATTTTCATTCAGTTTTTCCAGGACTATTCCACTCCATGAACATAGTTACATCTCAATAACAGGGCTAAGACAAATGTGAGAAAACTTCTGTAGTATGAAAATTCACATATGGAACTGGAGATCTCATTCAAAATGTGGTTTTCATGAACCATGTTAAGAGTGAATTCATAAATAACTGTGCTAAATAAACCCCAAAGGACCTGGGTTCAGCGACTATTTGCTCTTCTTGGTTTCTGTTGCTGTTGCTATGATTGCCAGAATAAACACTGCAGACTGGGAGGCTTAAATAATTAATTATTTTTCTCACAGTTCTGGAGGTTGAAGGTCCAAGATCAAGGTGTCAGTAGGGTTGGTTTTTCTTTGGCTTTTCTCCTTGGCTTGTAGATGGCCATCTTCTCCAAGTATTTTCACCATGATCTTACTTCTGCGTGTATCTGTATTCTAATCTCCTCTTTCCATAAAGACACCTGTCATTGGATTAGGGCTCACTCTAATGACCTCATTTAACCTTAAATACCTCCTTAAAGACTATCTTCACATACAGTCACATTCTGAGGTGGTGGGGATTAAGACTCCAACACATAAATTTTGAGGAGATGACACAATTCAGCCCATAAGAGAGCCCCATTCTTTGGAACCTGTACTCACCTGGGTTATCCTCTAGATTTCATGACTCAGGAATCCAGAAGCTCTTCTCTTCCATGGATTTGCTCTAAATTCTAAGCTCATTATGGTCTGAGATTGAATGAATCTAAATCTAGTAATTTCCTCATCCCCTAGGAATTTAGGTGAATTTAAATTTAACATAAGGATACTAGAGCCCCAGAGCATTAATTTGTGCACAGGTGGGGTCCCTCAGCCTGGTTGGCAATTGGGGTCATCTTGCCCAGTTCTGATCAGGGCCAATCGGGGCCAGCTGCCCAGGGGGAGTGCACTGACCACCAGGGGGCAGCTCCTGCATTGAGCATATGCCGATGGTCAATGCATATCATAGCAACTGGTCGACTGGTCACACAGTTGTCTATGTTGATAACAAAGAACCAACAAAAGAACCAACATCAAGGAGCATCAGACACCATAGGTGCTACTGTCTTCATTAATAACAGAAGCACCTTTATGCCTGATGCCTTTTAAAACTTTGAAACCAACTAATTATATCATATCTCTAAAGTCTGTGTGACCTCATGCAAATTCCTTAACTGCCTTGCCTTCAGTTTCTCTATTCATACTATGGCATAAAAATAGTACCTGCCTCATGTTTAAATGAGATAATATATTAGCAATATTAGCAAGTGATACTAGCACTTGGTGCCTAATAGTCTTGATATTATATATGACATGATTAACATCAAAATCCAAACCATTGCATTCATCTTCCCTTCTCCTACTTATCACTGTTCCATCTCAATACTGATGTGTGTCTACAACTCATCTCCATGATGTCCTGCTCTTGGACAACTCTTCCATATCCTTCCTTCTTTCACCTGAGTCTATGGCAAGAACATCATCTATCCTATGATCTTCTCAAATCAACCACAGGGCCAGGAGCAGGTGGAGACCGGCATTCTTGTGCTTCCTTGACAGGACTTCTCCATTCCTACACACCTTTCCCATCACTTCCTTTGAAGGACATGTATGACCACCTACCTTCCCTCCCTCTGGCTGTGAATTGGACTTGATCAATTCTTCACATTTCTTGAAGACTTTCACATAGTCTTACAGCTTCCCCTTTTACTTCTGTTCCTGGCATCAGTTTAGACAACTTCACATCAGAATGCACTTGTAAAGTGGTTTTGTCCCCCGCCCCCAGTGAAGTTTCAAGCCAGTCTTTATTTCTACAAGTAAGAGGACATGCTAAATGACACCAGAGAAATGCAATCAACAAAACCCAGAGGTTGGGAAACTTTAGAACAATTGTCCACCAGGAACAATTACAAAGGAAAAATAGAGAGGATGGGGGTGATGACAAGATAAATAGATTAAAAGTAAAAAGAAACAAACAAATGCAGTGTATGAACTTTTTTGGATTTTCATTCAAACAAATTAACTACCAAAAAAATAAAAAACAATCTTTAAAAAAAAACACAGAAATTTTAACATTGACTGGATATTTGGTGATATTAAGAATTTAAGTATTCATCTTTTAATCTATGATAATAAAATTGTTATTGTAGTCTTAAAAATCTCCCATAGTAACAAAAATGTTACTAGAAATTAAGAGGAAGTTCCATAATAACAAAGGACCAATCCATCTGGAAAATACAACACCTCAAAATACATGAAACAAAAACTGACAAAATTGAAAGGAAGAATTGAAGTTGGATACAATAACACCATATATTCAATAATAAGTAAAACAAACAAACAAACAAAAAACTAGACAGAAGATCCACAAGAAAATGAAATACTTGAACAACACTCTAAGCCAAGTAGATTGAATACCCTCACAATGCTAACATTACTTGACACTGTAATGTTAGCATTGTGATAAATAAATTGGCATTCTGGCCTAGAAATTTCAGTCTCCAGAACCTCGGTAATAGTTATTAGTATTTCTGATCCCAAACAATTCAGAGCCCTTCACAGCACTAAAAAAATACTCTCCTTTTCTGGCTTTGCTGGGCTCATCTGGTGAGGCCTCCCAGCTATCAGCAATGGCCCTTGCTGGCCATGTGGTTCAAAGAGAGGGTGGCTAGTGGGGGTGCAAGGAAGGATGGTTTGAGAGAATTCTCAGAAATCACAAAACTTTCTCTTCTGTGCCCTTCCCCCCCCCCCCCCCCATGGCTTTTCTGAAGTCTCACCAAGTCCCACCTTGCTCATTGAAACTCCCTGGTACCTCTGCTTCCACCTTTCTTCCTGCTGCCCTTTCCTCCTGCTTTGACTTTTTCAATGGTTCCCAAGTTTTCACATTCGAGTTCAAACCACTACACTTAGTTGAGGTAACAGTTTCATTTAATCTGCAACTATTCCACTCTTACCCCTGCTCCACCCAGTATTGCTCAGTTGGTGGCACGGTTAACAATTGGGTGGAACAGTTCTTCATTGTGCAAGACTGTCCTGTGTATTCCAATAGGTTTAACATTCCTGTCTTCTGCCCCCCTGAATACCCTCTAGACATTGTGACAAACAAAAAATGCCCCAGATATTTTCAAACACCCCTGTTGTCCCTTTACAACTAGGTGGCTGCTACTGGCTCCTCATTCCTCAGCTCAAGTATGGACTGAACCATAAACAGATGCCATCTTCATAATTCAAGAACATCATGCATTGGCCATTTAATATGGTTCAACTGAATATTCTTTCCCCTGGAAGCTCTGACATCGAATGCCCTTCAGCACCCTTTGACTTTCATTATTCAAGTGCTAATCACGGTGTGTCATAATAGCAGGTTCACATGTCATCTCCTCCTTCTAACCACACTTCTCACCCCTAATTACCTGGGAGCAAAGATCAAGTCCTGAATTTGCCTCTTGGTATCTCAGCTTCCTTTGGCACAGGGCCTGGCATAGAGCAGGTATTAAACCCATGTTTGATGAATAAACAAACAGGATATTGAGCATACTTTCCCCGATGATTCAATGTTACTATTCCTGGGAGATGTCTTCGGAGATTATTGAGTCACTTACAGGTTTGAGCTCTTCACTAAATGATCCACCACTGCCCTGCTTTATGGATTTTGCTTCATATCATCAAGGTTCCTGCCTCCAGCGATCTTCCCAGTGGTGATTGAAATCTGAAGCAGATTGTCCCAAGAGCAGTGTGGGGGCACAGCATAAACTTTGATAACTACACTAGTTGAGGGTCTTTTTGTCTTGTTTCTGGGTTCTCGATAGCTTTCACACATCTGAAGTCTGTCCTTTGTTAGTGAGGCTCTATCTGGTTCATTTTGCACCGCCATGTTCTTTTTGGAAACAACTAAAAAATGCCTCAGTAGAACTTTTGAAGTAGAGAATATTTCTGTGCTCAAATGCCCATTTCTAGATACCGGCTGATGACAAAATGATGCACTAAGAAATATCTCAAGGCAATTTCAAAATGGTTGTTCTGTCTCTGTAGTCACAAAGTATATGGGTACACTTATATTTTTTTTCTCTATTTTTCAGAATGCTGTGTTTTTTTAATGGTCTAAATGTAGGACGGGGCAAACAACATTCTTAAAACCTTCTAAAATATCCACATATTCCCAAGACTTTTTACATCAATGGACTTTGATCATGCAGATATATGGATACATTTTTTATTTTAAAAGTTTTATATCATAAAACACTGAACTATGAATCTCAGCTATAGGATCTTTCCAATTTCTGGTTTCGATGACTTTGAGTCAAAAAGCCCACTTTCCATTAGAATTCATAGAGAATGAAGTCCTAGACCATGAGGGATGGAGATAAAAGTAATAAGTAGGCAGAAGTAAATAGAAAATACAAATTTTCAGAATATGTTTATATTTCCTACTAGATCTTCAATTTTTTTACATATCTTAAATACCATATAACTCAATAAAAAAAACAATTTTTGGTTATTTCTTTTAGTTTTTGTATTTATTCTCATCATTTTTCTCTTTTACAGGTAATTACAACAACTTAGGAAACAAAACTACAAACAGAAGAATGTTAAATAGCTTTTCAAAGGGTTGCTGCTTGCAAAGGAAGTTTATATAGTATTACTCCTCCAAGTATAATTTTATACCTCATACTAAACTAAGTAGCTTATAAGAAATTATTATTAAATACAATAGTAAAACATACAGACAAAAGGCCCACATATATAAATAACTTAACATGAAATAGTTTAGCTGTAATGCAATGTTTAACAAAGTAAAAAGAATGATGCAATATGTATCAACTTCATTAACTGGATAAGTCCGATGACACAAATCAGATAACTGCTAAACACTCAGCGATGTGCAAGTGAAACCACTAACTCCAGGGAGGTTCGTTTTGTTTCTGGGCTGTATCCAATTTCATTCCAAAGAGCATCTGTTTTTACATCTTCCTGACTTTTTTGCTGTAAAGAGAAAGAGAAGAAACAAATAAGCAAAAACTGGGTGACTGGCTGGCGGGAAAGGCTTTGGTGCCTCGCAGTTGCCTCTCTTTCCCTAACCTCATGTCAGGATGCTCTGAGTCCAGATGAGTACATCAAGGTTCAGAGAGGAAGGGCCTGGACCATCATAGTTCAGTTAGTGTTGACAGAAACAAGATGTGAACACATGTCTTCAAATTCCATGTCTATGGCACTGTGATGTTAGGTGACTTCTGTCCATTGATAAAATGTGGCTTTATTATCATCAATGTAAATCAAAACCATTGTCCTCTTTCTCATTGCTTATATTTCAGTTTTTAAAAAACAAATGTAAATTATATTAATAGGAGACATTTTTTGCAACAAGAATCAAATAGCTTGTGACTATCAAATGCATAGAGCAATTTAATATGTCATGTGAAAAAATCACTAAGTTTAAAAACAATGATTTCTAAGTGGGAAAAAGTGAATTTTTGTTTTGATGGTCCACTTCAAATTTCCCTTTTAAAAACTCCATAGTGCTTAGGCTGGAAAATGCCAGCAAGCCTAGGCTCCATCACTCTGCACACTGCTCTTACCCCAGATGTTTGGAGAGAGGATACTAGATTGTGTTTCATACCTGAGGACGTGCACAACATGTTTCACCCATTTCTTCTTTGGATCTGCACACACAGCCAACCCTCTCTTTGTGTAAAGGCTGGAAAAATCAGAAAATTAGGTTTGTGTTTAAAGAGCTTTCAAATGGCTTTTTCATCAAACATGCAATGAAAATTTCATATCCCAATTGATAGTTCTATGCACTAAGCATTTCATTTATATCACAGGTGAAAAAAAATGCAAAAAACAAAAACAAAAAGAAGAATCATATTATCTCAATAAAGCTTGATGCAAGAAATAAAAGGGATGCTTCCTGACTTTCTCTGCAATTTAACAAATGGCTGCTCAATGGCAGAAAATAAAGTCCCAGAATATATATATATATATATATATATATATATATTATATATATATATATATATTATATATATATATATATATATAATCAGTAACAAAGTATAATATCTGATCTAAATCAAGACTATTATATGTGACAGTATAATTACTCTGAGTTTTTACTTATAGCCTCAATCATTTTCTGGTAGAAGATTATCATTTTAAAGTCTAGTCTATGTTTTCTATATTTTCTGGAACGATCACATTAGTAGCCCATTATTTTATCTAGAAAATGCTTCTTTTTTTAAAAGCAAAATCTTTGCCTTAGTCCAGTCTTATTTAAAGTGAACTTAGAGTCAAGTCTCCTTTCGTCACCATGGAAGAAGACTTGACTCGGGGTGGTAAACACACAATGCACTATACAGTCGATATACTGTAGAATTGTACACATGAAGCCTATATAATTTTTTTTAACCAAAGGCAACCCAATAAATTTAATAAAATTAAATATCTATAAAAAGTGAGCTTTGAAATAGACATGCACTACTAACACATACCTTTGCTACATCTTATATTTCTAAATGAAACTCAAAAAAAGGCAAAAACTTTTATGCCTGAAATTTCCATGTATTCTGACACAATTGAGTTAAAAGCAGTTAATAACTTACATGATTGCATTGATGTCACAAGCATCGTTGGCCAGTTGCTGTTCGAAGCCCTTGATAAGTCTGCTAGGAATGACTTGTTCTGTATATTGAAGGCAGCAATCGAAGGCGCTTGCTGCTAAAAAGAAATGAATGGTATTGAGTCCACATGAATAAACTATTCTGTGATATTATGAAACTACTTGTAGCTATGGGAAAGCCTAGAATCTGATCTATGTGGTAAACTATTTAAAGGAAGAGTTTCAGTGTCTTTGAGACTGATTTTAGCATAGTTTTCAGTTCTCAAAAAAACATAGTTTGTGTGCTGGGAAATTTTGGTTCAATAATATAGTTTAGAAGCACATGACTTCTCATAAAAGGACAATCTTTAATAAGAAACACAAACTGGCTCTCTTATTTCAATCCACTATAATTGCTCAAGAATATGAGTAACTCTTACATGAAAAATTCATAGATAATCTTTTAAATTGGCAGATTTCCATCTATCATCTGGCTGCTGAGTACTGAGAGGAATGAAAAGACTTTACAAATGAAAATGCGATTCATAAAAGCTGCTTTTATATGAGCTATAAATAAAGCATTTTTGAAATTATAAGAGTTCATAGAAATTTTTCATTTTGTTCATTTTTAGGAATGCACATATTGCTAAAAAGTGATGCTCTCTTACAACAACAAAGCAATACTTGGGCACTCCTCCAGTTGAATTATAACCTGTTGTAAGATAGGGGATAAATGTTATCACAAAGTTGGCAAGTGATGTCCCTGAGGTCTTGCAAGCATGAAGAACTCAAGTGCCATAATCCACCCCTAAATAATGAGTTTTGAGTTTTGCTGAAACTATTTAGTTGGGAGATGAGAAAGTTGGGGGGTTGGGAGCGTTCCTTCCATTTCAGAATGACCCCATTCACTGGTAATGCTACTCAATTTACATCATCTCAGAAATAGCAGTTTGGCAGTATTCCGGAGCTTAAGGGTCTCTGTGAGCCCCACGCCCCCACCCCAATCTGCTGTGACTGACAGCAGAGAAGAAAGCCTGGTCCGCAGCAGGAACCTCTCCCTCCTTCATTCACCAATGAGCTGACAACTCCCATGACTCCCTTTTGAAAACTTTCTAACAGGCTTCTATCCTCTGAGGACCCCCCGCCCCCCAGATGAGTTCAAGGCTTAGAGGAAAATGAAAATACTAGATCTTCCTGCCCTGTGAGCAGAAAGAATGACACCTACCTTCTGTCTTGCTGCAGACGTGGAACAGCAGCACTGACATGAAAGCAGCCAGGAGCAAATTCTTCCTAGAGCCCGTCATTTTCAGCTCGAAGAATAGAAGTGCTCAGTGCTGGGTACCCAGTTCCCTCAGGTGGTGCTCTGATAGCAGCCTGGGACTCAGATGGCACTACTTATAGCAAATATTGGGAATGTACACAAAAGGCGTGTTCTCCCATGGGGTTTTCCCCATTGACGGACCTGCCCCATCATGTTGTCACACACACACACACACACACACACACACACACACACACACACGGAAAAACTTCCTGCCTGGGAAGGTATGAAGGTCAGTGTTTGGGTGGAGGGGGGGAGTGGGGGAAAAGGGAAAATCCTGTTATATCCTTTGAAGATTCCCATCTAGTTTTAACTTAATCTCTTGTCTCAGAGAAAAGAGGATAAGAGTTAACAATAATACAAATACAGGAACATTCCAGAACTCCTATTGTTATATTCTATTTGCTTTTCAAAGCCAATCAGAGAGGGGGAGGATGGAGTAGGATTCCAGGCATACTCAGAAACCATTCACAATTGCAAAGCTGGAACTCAGCTGTCACCAAAAACCTTGAATTTCTAGGCTACCTTTCAGAGCAGGTAATATAACAATGCTGTAGTAGTTCCCCAATTTTTGTGGGAAATACTAACCCTTAATTAAGACTCAACTTGATTTTGTGACAACTCTTCTAAGAATCTACTACATTTACATAACTCTAATCAATATTTCAGCTCAGAAAGTAATTCCTACCAACCCTAAATTCTTCATACAAAGGTAGTTACATAATTTAATCCCAAATTCAGAAAGATTGGAAAAGAAGAAGACTATCAGCAATGGTTAATCAACAAAAGAAATGTCAAATAGTAGTGACAATGATAACAATGGTAATATGCATTCCTAACCTATGATGGTATAATAAAAATGTGTCAAAGAAGAAAGAAAGAAAGGAGAAAATACCTTGAGAGGAATGAAAATAAAAAATGCAAAATACTCAAAACGTATATAATTCGGCAAAATCACTGCTCAGAGGGACACTTATAGCTGGAATAAAGAAAATAGGGAATAGCAAAGTAATAGAGGAAATCAGTGGAAACTTTGGTTCTTTGAAAAAATCAACAAAATTAATAAGCATAAACTGGACTAATCAAGAAACTAAAGGGGGAGGGACAGAAGAATGGAGAAAAGACAAATTGCTGAACTTGGGAATGAGAAAGGGATACAATGAAAAACACAATAAAAAAAATACACACAATGAGATATCACTTCACACCCACAAGAACAGCCATAATAAAAAAGACAGATAATAAATGTTGGCAATGATGTGGAGAAACTGAACCCTCATATACTGTTGATGATGAAATATGATGAAGTCACTTTGAAAAACAGTTTGACAGTTTCTCAAATGGTTAATCATAGAACTGCCACATGGCTGAGCAATTCTACTCCTAAATCTACAGCCAAAAGAAATGATAATGTATGTCCACAAAAAAACTTGTATATGAATGTCTGTGGCAAAATTATTCATAATAACCAAAAAGTGGAAATAATCCATGTATCATAAACTAATGAATCTATAATAATAAAAGCATAATATTAGACTGGACATCCTTCTGGATGACCTTCTGGATGAAGCCGGGGCTGTGAGAGAAGCCCAGGTCCCAGGTGCTGGAGGGAAGCCAGTGCCGGCATCTAGGGGAAGGAAGACCTACTCTTACATGAATTTTGTGTATCAGGCCTCTAGTAGATAAATAAAATGTGGTATATTCATACAATGAAATCATATTTGGCAATAACCATGAAGTTTTAATGGATACTACAATAAGAATGAACCTTGAAAACATTATATTTAAGCAGAAAGAACAAGCCCAAAAGGCCACATGCTATATGATTTCATTTATAAAAATGTTCAAAATTGACAACCCTATAGAGACAGGAAGTAGAATAGTGATTATCTAGGACTATTGGGGAGTTAGAGTAAAGGGAGGGGTATGGAAAGTGACAGCTGATGGCTATGTGGTTTCTATTTTATTTATTTTTTCTAAAAATAAATAGTGATGGTGTTTGCATAACCTATGAATATACTAAAACACATTGAGTTGTGCACTTTAAAAGGGTGAATTTCATGGAATACGAGATATAACTCAATAAAGGTCATAACAATAAAAATAAAAAAATCTCCTACATCTACCTCTCACTTCAGCCCACGGATCCTCTTTCTTCCTTCACAACTACTCTTGGTTTCTTGCATTCCTACTCATTTCTTGTTCCTCCATTCCTGTTGTCGCTCCTCTTATGCTCCCTCTCTGTCATCTTTTGATCACATTTCTCTCTTCCCCTCTCTTTAACAACTGTAAAAGAGAACTGACATTTTTAATATTAATTGCAATTGTATTTGCCAATGCTTAGTTTGAGAGTTGTGTCATCTTAAAATTATAACTTAAAATTTTTTTAAATGTGGGTCTTTAATTGATTTTTGGGGTCAATGTACATACTAATGAGAAGGTTAACATAGAACATTATTTTAAACCAAATTTATTAGAAGGCTATTTAGCACACAGACTTTATTTTCTAGCCATTCTTTTCAAATCTTAGTCCCTGAGTCCTAATTCCTACCGCAATAGAGTCACTGTTTCTTAATTTTTTTTTCACAATTATTCTTAAGTGAAAGGTACTCCGTAGTATATACCAATGGATAGAACATGGTGACTGAATTCAAGAAGACATTTAATTAAAGCGTTAAAACACACACAAGTAACTAAAAAACAAGGCACTATGGGGTGACATATTCATATTATATAAAATGTTTTCAGAGAAATTGTTCACAAAATGTGATCATTTGAAAGTGACTTAACTCCCCTTTTATATCTATGACAGATGAACATAAGCTCTGTTTGGCTAAGAGAGTTCCATCTTTCTATTCTTTCTGATAGGGGTCCCATTAAAAGCTTTGAAAAATGGTAGGAGTTCCAGCATTTATTGAGCACCGACTAGGTGACAGATATTTCAGAAGAAACGTGCTAGGAAAGCAAGGAGGCCTGATATTTGAGTTCTATGGGGAAGATAGAGGCAAAGAACCAGACAGCCCTGAGCTTTGTGGCTTCCTTACCTGTAGGTCCTGACCTCAGCTGAGTTTCAGGGACAAATGTGGTCCTTAGAACGGTTTTTTAATACCTACTAACTATAGAATGTCTAAGCTAGAGAAGCATGGAGACCATCAAGCTCAATACTTTATAAAGGTGAGGACACCAAAGCAAGAAAGATGCTTGCTTTTGTCAGTGTCAAACCACGAGGGCCGGAGATGAATCTAGAAATCGGGTCCTCTTCCCTAAGTCAGTGGATTCTTCCTCATTTCCTCCTCCAGGGTTTACTTTCTGATTATCACGTGGATGTTTTTGTAAAACATTAGCCAACACTTCCATTTCTTTCAGGTGATAATATAAATTATACTTTCCATGTGGGCTTACTCATATACACCAAATACTGAGATTATTAAAAATAAAAATAACCAACCACAACTTCAATGGAACAATACACGTTCCCACAATAACTGATTAAAACAAATCAAGCATCTTGTTCCTTGGCATCCTAGTTTGGGTCCCTTGAAAGCAGAACTTGAGGAGCCAGTAATTTATCTGTGATATAATCTCAGGAACCAAGAGAGAGGCAGGGAGGTGAAGAGGGGACAAGCCTTCAAGGTCATTCTGAGGGCACTGGGGAACTTATTCGACTAGTACCTCCTGAGAAACAAACTGCTGCCTTCCAGAATTATTTTCCTGAACAATAGCGGGTGAAGTATTTTTTAGCTGGTTCACATCCCTCATTATTTGGGGATTTTCACCAGAAGCATTAATCCACCACCACCCTACCCCATCCCACCCCCAGCCCAGGGTTTGAAGCTGTGCTTGAGGTGGGGAGATTGGTTTCAGCCTTCTCCCTCTGAGAAGGTCTTAGGGCAGAAAGACAAGCAAAGCATGCTCAAGGTGAGTTGTTGTCAGTGTGATGTGGTCTAAACTCATGACACTAGAGCTAGGGCTGAAATCAAAGGTAGACTGGGGCAGGGGGCGGGGGGGGGTCCTTTAAAAAGCTCTTTTAGAAACATCGATGTTTAGGTAGCCAATTGTGAAGAAAATAACTGTTGTGTCTGCTAAGGCCAGATGATTCCTCCAGACCCCAGAGGACAGCTTGGTTTAGCATTCAGTGTCTCCAGAATATACTGCATAGCCACAAGCCACGTGTCCCGTTTATCCCTAGACAAAGAGCTCTGGCCCATAAATTCATTACGTTGCAAGGCTGTGTAGTCATACTGAGAAATACTTATGTATCAGATACAGAAAAAGTAAGACCTAATCGTCCTGAGGTTCTCAAAGAGGCCTGAAAAAATCATCATTGCTACCCAAGAGACATTCAAGAGAGGAGTGGCCAAAGAATGTCCCTCCAGGGTGCGGTGACAGCCAGAGCCAAGATACCGGGACTCAGTGAAGCTTCATGAAGGAAAAACACCGTGATAAAGAAGTTTCCACCTGCAGCTTCAGGTCCAACATTAAATTCAACCTATTTGTCATATATGATTATTCTAAAACTTCTTAAAGATATCAGTTTTCCAAAAAAATAGGATGCTTCCCTATAAGCCACTGACAGACTCATGCATAACTTGCTCTTTTTCAAGAACCAAAGAGATGCCTCTGAGAAACTGTTAAAACAATCATTGCCGGTAAAGTAAAACCAGAAGCCAGCTCCGTTTTACATTTCTATAGGGTTGTTGTTGAAACCAAAGTCAAAGACCCCGATCACCAGTCCACTGACTGACAGCAAGTGTTATTATCTCAGGAGTAGAGCCTTGAGAGTTGCCAAGTCAATTTTTGAGTGAGCATTCTTTGCAGACACCTGAACTAATGACCCAAAAAGTGGTGTAGCTCTATATGTGAGAACCATGTGATCATTTTTTGACTCTGTGAGCGACCATCCAGTTCAGATTTCATTTCTCTGTAGAAAGAAGAATTGATATAAAATTCTCCTAACTCCTCCCTGCATTGTTTATCCTGACCTGGAGGTTTTTTGGTTGCCTCTGTGTTTCCCACCTTCTCTTTTTCCTGGAGTCTCATAAAGGGAATCTCTGTTAATGACATGCAG